GTTGATCATCCATGTGGATTAATTTTACAAACATTTCAAAATTATATCGTAAATTATACTGGGCCTTAAGTTTGGTTTAGAGATTCATTCAGAAGAGATAAATATAAAGATTAATTAATAAAAAGCACAGAACTTTGTGATGAAATTATAGAGTTTCTTAAATTCTTTGTAAATTGTATAGATAGTTATTATATGATTGATAAGTTTGTTCAATCAACCCACTTATTAAATTGTTTTACCAGTACTAATAATATAGCATTTGTTATTAATATATTATTTTTGGATGAAAGAATATATATCAAAATTTTGAAGAGTTTTTCTGAACTTTATGCATTTGAAAATTATCAATACTAATTGAGCTTGAGAATTTTAAATTAGAATACAATTGCTGATTTTGACGTTCAATTATAATTATAATTGAACTCTAATACTTAAATTTCATTTGAATTTTAATAAGATTACCTAAAAGGTAATCCATCAATATAATTTTCTGAATATGAGGATTTCAATTAGCCTTATTAATTAGCAATTAACACTTTAAAATAGCTGGAGTAAGTGTAATCACCAGCAAACTAATTGAAAATTATCTCAAAGACATTCAAATAAATCAATTTTTGCATACATGATTATTATGAAAAACATCCTGAACTTGAAGCTTTAAAGAGTTATGGAACGGATGATATAGTTCCTATCTTAACATATGTCATTGTTAAATGCAACATACAAAACTTTGGAATTATTTTAAAAGTATATTTCAATATTTAATAAGATTATTGAAGCCTTTACACCAAAATAAATAATGACTGGAATACTGGGATATTATCTAGTTACAATACAGGGTTGCTATTAAAGAATTTCATAATATGAAAAATTTTAATAAGTTAGGCAAACATTAGAAACGACAAAACCTGAAGATTAAACTGTGCATCAAAATTAATTTTAATAAAAAGTTCTCAGTTCTGATTAATTCAAAATCTGATATTATTAGGCTAAAATAATTTTATAGATGAATTTACAATATCAATATATATCATTATTAGTCAAATATGCAATTAATATTTTATATCAAATGTAGTGTTTATTTGAATATTATTTTAATATAATTTTATTAGCTCTAAATAATTTGTTATCAAATCCTTCCCATAATTATTCTGGATTTATTTAGCAATGGTAAAATAAATGATTAATGTGAGAAACAAAGAATTTTATAAAAACTTAATATAATTTTATTATTATTAATGGGTTGCTGTAAATACTTTCCAAATAGTTGTTGCTCATCCAAAACGTTCGAAAATCCATCTTATTCAATAATACCAAAAGAAACTTCAGAATAGTTCTAGAATGAATTCATTCAAAGTATCATAAATCTTGATGTGAATGGTAATTTGTAGAGAGAATAAGAAATAAGTTTTCCAATAAAAAATACATCATATACTAAAGATATTACTGATGTAGAAATAAAATAAGAATATATGAAAACTAGTTCTAAACAATGGAACATTAAGTAAACTATGTTTGTCAGAGTGAATTCTAAAAAAAACATTAATGACTCATATTTGATAAAAGAAATGATTGGATAGGGAGGATTTGGTAAAGTCTATAAAGTCGTTCATAAATAAACTGGTAAGTAGCATCAAGACTTCTAAATTAGGAATGATAAGGGCTGTGAAAATGATATTGAAGGAGAAGATGAAACAAGAAGATGAAGAGCGGTTATTAGAGGAAACTGCTATTTTGATGGATATAGATCATCCAAATATAGTTAAATTATATGAGATATTTTCTGATAAATATAGTTATTATTTGGTAAGTGAATATTGTGAAGGTGGTGAGTTATTTGAAAAAATTAAACTTGTTTCAATATTAACAGAGAAAGAGATTGCAAATTTTATGAAATAAATACTCTCTGCTGTATCCTATTGCCATTAAAAAGGAATTGTTCATAGAGATTTAAAGCCAGAAAATATACTATTTGATTAAAAACATAGTCAAGCTTCAATTAAAATTATAGATTTTGGTGCTAGTGCTAAGCTATAAAATTGTGAGAAGCTACAAAAACGAATTGGAACAGTATTTTACTTTTATTTTTTAGCCTTTTTATGTTGCACCTGAAGTACTTGATGCAAATTATGACGAAAAATGTGATATTTGGTCTCTAGGAGTAATATTATATATACTCTTGAGTGGGTATCCTCCTTTTATGGGAGCAAATGAATAAGAAGTTCTTATTAAAGTAAAAAAAGGAGAATATTCATTTGATCCAACTGATTGGGGGAAAGTCTCTAATTCTGGAAAAGATTTAATTAGAAGAATGCTTATGTATAATCCTACAAATAGGATTTCAGCTGCTGATGCTTTGAATCATGAATGGATAAAAAATAATAAAGCAAAAGGACAAATTAACAGTTTGACTCTTAGTAAATTATAAGATTTTGATTCAAAAAATAAATTAAAATATGCGATCTTTTAGTTTATAACTGTTCAAGTAGTTACAAACTAGGAAAAAAATGATCTACTCAGGATATTTTAAGAGATAGATAAAAATGGAGATGGAACTGTCAGCAAAGACGAACTATATTAGGGTATAAATTGTAAAAATTTTTAGCTTATTTAAAAATTCATAAAGGAGATAAATTAGCAGCTGAGACTATAGTAGAAGAATTATTTCCCCAATTAGATGCAAATGGTTCTGGGATAGTAGATTTTAGCGAATTTATTACAGCAACAATAAACAAAGAGAAATCACTTAGCAGATAAAGAATTGAACAGTCTTTTAAATTGTTCGATTTGGATTAAAATGGATTGATTACTAAATAAGAACTAAATGAACTATTTGATGAAGAAATAGATGAATAGATGTGGTAGGAAATCTTAGATTAATGTGATACTGATAATGATGGAATGGTATAATACTTACATATAACTAGATTAATCTTACTGAATTTATCAACTTGCTTGAAAATAAAATATCAAAAAATCCAATATTTTTAAAATGAAAATAATTTGAAAATTAACAATTAATGTATATATCTATAATTATTGCAATGATTATATAGAGATATATATTATTTTAGACCTATTTAAATGGAAATTTATTTTCATTTTTCCTATAATATTTAATCATTATCAGTCATAATAGAAAAAAAAATCTAATTAGTATATCCCATATGAAATTTCTAATAATGAGCAAGAAGTAATTGCTAAGATACTTTGATTCGAAAATATAAAAAAAAATCTTATAAAATCATTCATTAAAATGATATAATCTAATTGGTTCTGAGACTATTTTGATGATTCTATCTAGCTTTAGAGAATAGTCAATGGCTATAAAGTTTATTATATGGAATAATAAATTTGGAAAATGGGAATTCAAATATAAAGACAAATACATCGAAGTTGGGTTGAAAAATAAATAAAAATTTTTTTAGATATATAAGAAGTATGGGAATACATTTAATTAACTAGATTATATATTCAAATGTAAAGATTCAAGTTTAATTAAAAACCTTTCTTTAAGATGTAATTTTAATTATAAAATTTGTATACAGGAAGGAACTATTTTAGACATTAGTTAAAGTTTAAATATGATAATTGTATAATCAATTAGAATTTCAAACATATGTTAGAAATGTATTGTCATCATGTTTTTGAGCTACTTTTTATTTTGGTTTAATGTCTAAGGTTTTCTATTTCATTATTCTATGATCATCCTAGTCAAGTTTAGTGGCAATCTCAAAAGATCTTTTCATCTGAATAAAATGATTTTTTACTTATTTCAAATCCCTTTGATAAGAACAATAAATTATTTTTCTTTATTTATCAAAATATTGTTCTTCCTTTTTTTTCATAATAGGACATGGCTCTGTTTTTTTTTTTGTGGTTTCTATTTTTGGCAGGGCCAAACTTTTAGTTCTGGAATTCCTCTTTTGAAACTCTTAAAAGTGCATCTCTTAAAAGTAAAATTCTCTTTCAGCTGACAAACCTACTCATATGAATGTCTAACCATTTTTGTTCTTAAAGCCTTTACTTCCATCTAAAATTGTAATCCCCTGCATATTTTGCTTTGCTTGCTAATTGTTTTTATTTTTGAAGAGTATATTTTTCCATTCTTTCTGTTAATTAATCATACAAATATTCCAAATTGGCTTCTTACTGATAATAAAGTTCCTAATATCTAGAGCGAGCATTTTTAACTTATTCATCACTTGTTTTCATTTTACGTTCTAAATAACCATTAATTGTGATACTCATAGAAACTTTTTTTTCCTCATTTATTGGAATAATGAAAGCTAATTCAGTATTACAGACAATAGGGCGCATTTTAATAATCTACAATTTAAGATGAGGAGATTATTTCATTAATTAATTATAAATTTAGTAATAATTGTAATCGATTAAACCATTTTTACTATATCGTAGGATATGCATAATATTCAATCATGATACTAAGCCCACAATTTACAGGCTCTTCTAAAGCTTTATTATTTTAGATTACAATTTTACATAAATTCAAGATTGAGTTATTCATTTTATTAAATTAAAAAGTTTTATATTATTACGTTGATTAATACTCTATTGCATAGGGAATTACAAGTGATCATAGGGCTTCTTTTACGAAAATTTGATGAACCCTTTTTGTATCCCTGGATTGCATTATATGTGATTTAGGATTATCTTATTCCTATTCAAATTCAATCGGTTTAAATTGTTATGTTTAAATGTTAAATTCAACTTATTTATTTGTGTTTTTCTTACTTTCTACTTCCTTCCAAATAATCTTTTACAAATCAAGGAGATTATCATTATATTCAATTCTATGCATCAACTCTTTCAGCAACCTTTTCAAATAACTATAAGAAGTTCATCATCAAAAGAGATATTAATAAAGTAGTAAAATAACCCTCAACTAATGACGTAGACCATAATTAAATTAAATTACAATTAACACTTTTCAAACCTAAAAAATATTCTCAACTAATCTAAATACTCTAAATCATTTGCCCTGCTTTAACTGTATCCTTAATGAGAACAGAAGTAGTTCCTTATAATTGGTGGCCTATTAACTTTGAAAACAGTTCATATATTCAATAATTGATTCAGAAATCAATGATTTGAATATAGTTTTGATTGAATGGGATTTCTATCATGAAATCTCTGGCTTAAAGTATCTGTGTTAATACTAGGTAACTTTATCTCACTTATTTAATAAAGTCTTTAGAATGTGGATATTTTAATTGACGAATATCGTGATTCATAAAATGCAAGATAGTTTTCAAAGAACATGTAAAGTTGTATAAACTAAATAATTCATCAATGTTTTACGACATACTTTCCCAAATTTCTATCCTTAACAGTTTCATAGCTCTTTTCTGCCAACTTAATTTTTTTTCTAAAATGAAAATGCTAATTTATATTCATTTTTTTGGTTTTTTAGAGAAATTTGTTTTTATTAATTTAATTCATATTAGAATTACTCATCATTATATTTATACTCTAAAGAATTAAATTACATATTCTTTATGATAAGACGAACTTTTTTTTCTATATTTCCATAAAAGATTATTTTGTTTTTATGGATCAGAATAACCTGGAATATTTTTCAGTTTATTATTTTCTCTCATCATATTGATTTTTAGCTGTTTTTTAAACACTGCCTAAATTTTTAGATCAAACAAAGGAAAAATTTACACTAAGGCGACAAATGAGTATTAGATAGAGGCAAACAAAGAAAAATAGAGTTTTGTAAACTCACCCAATTTAGATTAGTGCTCCATATTCAAATTAAAGAATTCATCATTTATAATATTATCAATTTTATTTAATTCCTTTTCTTCTATCTTCATCTTCTTATTATTTAATTCTTTAATGTATATAATAATGACATTTTTTATATTTTCTGCCTGAATTACAAAAACATTATTTATTCCCCAATTTGCTCAATTTTGCCATCATTTATTCCATTGATAATCCTTCAAAATCCTTTGAGATTTTATCATCATCATCATCTTCGCTTAAATCATCCTTCTTCTTTTTCACTCCACCCATATTATACATATTAGCCACATCCTCTTCAGTCATCTAACCCATCAACTTCTTATATCCTTTATTAAATATGCTATATGCACTTAAAGTGCCTTTTTCTCTAGTACCCAGATTAGTAAAGATTAATGCAAATCCAGTAATGATTACATACAACCCTTACATAGAATATAGGATTGATATCTATTAGATAATAGTATGATGATTACTCTGCCACCAATCAACCAGATTATAGTATATACAAAGTATTTCAGAAAACTCCATTGAAAATATGTTTGTAAAAGGTGTTTATAGTATTTAGAACGATCCTTGAATTCGGATGAATCTACAAGTTCAACTTTGTACATATAATAATAATAATCAAATATTGCTAAATTTGAGTATTCGACTAATAGTATCCTTTAGTTCTGCTTGACTTTAGATTTTAAGAATTTTGAGCATATATCTTTTATCAAATCCTTATGCTGATTATTTTATTCGATTTTTTTCATATAAGGATCCATTGATTAATTATCTTTTTACTTTTCAATTTGACTATTTGCAAAATCTGACAACTTCTAAATGAATATCCTTTAATCTCTCTATCTAAGAAAATCCCTAAACAATTTTAAAAGGGTGTTATCACAGGATTTCACGTCTAACAATTATTTTTGATATTTTACTTATTCTAATGCCAATCTTTATTCCTAATTTAAGCATCTCCCGTAAGCCAACAGAATTGTCAATTATTATTCTATTAAACTATCGAATTACTCAATTTCATTAAAATCAAATCTAAAAGAAGATGAATATTCTTTAATTATGAGATTTAGAGTATTTAAAACTCATGTTTCACAATAAGCTTCATATGCTGCCATAACAGACATATCTTAAATCGAATATAAATAATAAAAGGCCTTTGCTTACCTTAAAGTAATGACTTTATCAATTTCATATAAAAAAATTATTATAAATTTGAAATTTTAATATTTATGCATTTTTGGTTCAATAACAGCTCCATGAGTAGGTGAAGGTTTGTCATCAATTTTTTATTTTGTAAAGTCAATAAATCATTAATATCTGATTTAATGCTATCTATATCATATCTTTATCCATATTTATCTAATATTTCAAGTAACCTTCAGTTTTAAACAGTATAGTATCCATGTAATTTAGCTTTTTTATGTTCATCACAGAATTTTCCGCATTAATCATAGACAGTCATAAACAATTTTTCATAATCTTCATTGCTGTATTTCTATAATACTTTGACATGATATTTATCAATGAAGTTAATTTCTTTCTTATTTTCCAATAATATTGAATCAACACTCAACTTCCGTTCTTCCTATTAATTTATTTATGGTAAATTCAAATTCAAATGAAAATGTTCATCATAACTATCTTTTTGCCGTTTATGCATCAAATAATAGGAATAGCTATTTTCTTCTCTTAATTATTATTCCAATTGTCCTACATTCTCTTTAAGAAAAATAAATAAATCCTATATTTATCCATTTTATCCAAATTTTTGAAATCCTTCATATATAGGAGTTTATTAGCATTTTTATAAAAAGTACTCTACTTAATGAGAGTTAAAATTCTTCGTAATTTCTTGCTAAAATTGACCTTGTAAATATTGACTTATTATTTACAGTATAATCTTGTGAAATAGGATATTATTGTACATCTTGAGAGTAATCCATCAAACTTTTAATCAAATCATCTAAATCACTGTCCATTCTTAATTCTCTCAACATTCCAGGCTCAATTACCTAAATTTAATAATTAATCCATTATTGTTATAGATGATCTTAAACCTGGAGTAGGATTATAATCATAAGGGAAATTAACTGATTAATGAGCATCACTCCTACTAGGACTGGTGATAAATTTGAGATTATTTTAACTATTAAACAAAATATATTATTTTTACAATTAAAGGTTGTTATTGTCATCTTAAGAAGACATCCGACTTTGTGTTTCTGCTTTTCTTTTTTCTGTCAATATGAAATAGAACTTATCCTTATGAACTTGCAGATTATTGCAAAAATAATTCAAATCACAAATATTTTTATTATTGCAGTTACCTTACGCACCTTATAATGCTGTGATGGTCTTATCAACCTAAAATGATGATCGAATTAAACAACAAAAGGATGCCACATCCTTATTCGAAACAAAGAAGAATTTTTGTTCTCCATCCAATGAATAAGGTTATTTGATAAAAATAATATTGTAAAATATATTATAAATAATTTATTACATCTAAACTATTTCAAATTCTAAATAAAATTATTTATGTATATAAATTCTCTTTATTTTACATTAATTTATATATAAATATAAATGTAATAAAAAGCAAAATAATTCTTTGCTACCTACGGAAAATTGGGAATTGGTGTTTATTTTTCGATCTCTTTAGTAAATTATGGGATAGTTTACTTTGCACTGAAATAGGGAGTTGATATGAAATAAGTTGGATCAAAGTATCACTTTTCATTTTACATAAGGCTAGGATTTGATACTGCTCAAGGGAAGTGGGAATAGATAGAAACATATGGTACGCCTACAGCAGCGTACATAATTTATAAACTTATGGCTCCAATCAAATGGCCACTTGTAATAGGAACCACAGCTTTGATATGTAAAAAAGGAAGAAAATGAAAGATGATTATATAAATTGCAAAGAATTTTGAATATAAAATTGTCAATAAATCTAAAATATCAATATGACATATTTATTATAAGTGGAAGTTCTGGCGGTCTAACAGTAGTTGATGAAGCCTAAAAGTTAGGCAAGCTAGTGGAATTAGCAGATTACATCAAACCAAGTCCACATGGATCCAATGGGGAACAGGAGGCACATGTCCTAATGTTGGATGCATTCCTAAAAAGTTAATGCATCTGACAGCATTGATTGGAGAAATAAGACATGAATTAACAACAACCAGATGGCAAGGAGTAGAACCTCATTCAAAGCATGATTGGAATATTTTAGTCAATAAAAATTTGCAAAAAGTAGCTGGATTTCTTCTTTTAGAGTTAATTTGATGCTATATTTTTTTCTTCTCTTAAGATTCTTTTCCTCAATCAAACCTACATCTTAATAACTAATCACCCTTTGACCACAAATAAGTTGCAACTTCTTAAATCTATTGTTACTTTTACTTGTATAATTCATAGATTTAATTTTAATTGCCCTTAGTATATCATAATAATTTTTACACAATCATTCATCACTTTTTCTAAAAATAATATAATATCTATCAACTCATCTATAATTTCATCACATAATTCTATTTTTCTCTGCTTTCTTTTCAAGCCATTTTCATCTTAATTATCTTTCATCTTAGTTGCCATTAACATTAATTTACTGATTTCTAATCATTAATTATCACTCATACGCTCTTAAACTTTGATAATTTACTTCCATTCTTTATTTGGGCAAATGCATGGGTATTCTTATGTGTTTTTCTCTCTTTCTTATATACTAAAAAATAGGTTATTTCACCTAATCCCCATCAAAAGGATTCTCATCATCAGTATCCTCCTCTTAACATCCTATTTCCTTTCTTCCACATTTTCTTTCTAAACCTCCTGTACCTAATAATTATAATTAATAGTTTAATCAATAATTTGATTGAAATTCCAAGAATCAATTTATATACAACCTTCATCCAGACTTTCTATAAATTCTCTTGATTAAATGATCTTCTCTTTTGCCTGTTATTATTAACTGTGATCTTCTTGCAATTCGATCTCACCTTCTTTCAAATTTGTAATCCAAGGGAAAAATCTTTCATTATTTTTTTTCAATATGCCTCATAGTATTTTTATATTAATTATCTGCATTGCAATTAGGAGAACCTACCCGTTTTGTTTATAACCAGATTTTCCTATTTAGACATCAAACCAAAATAAATTTTTTAAAATAATAAAAAATCTTAATGAGATTTCCATTTCAAATTTTCAATCGAAAAGTACAAAGTATCATTAATATCTAAATTATTTGGCTCATTATAATAAAAATATTTTAGTATAGTCTAATATTTTTCTAAAAAACTTAGATTATACTCTAATTGATAAAAACCCTATTAAAATATTGAATTACAAGAATTATAGGTAGATGCTATCAAAATATCATATTGTATTTCATTTTCAAATTTAAAAACATTAAAAATATATAAACATGAAAAAGGAATAAAAAAATTTCATTTATATTATTCATAATAAATGTAGAAATATGGAAACTAATAAATTTTTGGAAATTACATATTCAAATACTAAATAGCTCTTAAAGAAGCTATTTAAACATGAAAAAGTATTTCTCAAAAGAATTTTCATTTTATTAATAAATTTACATAAAACAATAATTTACATATTGTTCATTAAGTGAATGTATAAAATATATTGATTATAGTTTAATTTTATAATAATTAATGATCAAGTAATTTTGCGAGCAACTTACCAATGGAGCAACCTTAATCCAGTGCAAAATTTGAAAAGAAGTACTCAAAAATACATTAGAATATAATATAGAAATAGAGAATAATTAAATCATTATTGTCATACATAATATTTATAATTTTCTATTTTTTTGATTGATCTTGTGTTCAAAAGAGCAGATGATTTGCCATTTGAAAAAAAAGAATATTTATATATAAAAATTATATATCGAAAGAAAAGATACATCAAATATTATTATAATTTACTTATGATGTGGTTCTTTATTAAATCGATAAAAGCTTGATTGATTTAATTCTTTTAGGAAGAGAAAATACAATAATAATGGTTTATGATAATGAGATATTGAACAGTATGGGATAAAATTCAAAAAGGTTATGCATGGGGAATATTATAAAATGATTTAAAATCTAATTAAAAAAGTGTGAATGATAATCAATGTTGCATCATTAGATTATGAATTAATGATAAAGGCAGCCCATCAAATGTAAATAGTGCGTATTAAATTGATAAATTTCTAAATTATTAAACCAGAATTCAATTGTCTTATCAATTAATTATTATATAATCAGGATGTCTGAATCTATATACAAAGTTCGCACTTAAAAATATTTCAAACCTATCTTAGAAACCTAGATAATTGGAATATCTAGAGTAATTCTCGGATTACCAATCGATCATGTATTTGATAGATTCAAGACTCTACTTTAAGCTGAGAACACTCAATCATCAATTAAATAATTATTCAAAGATACTTATCGAAGGAACGGAGTTCTTAAAGGAGTTTTTGCTGGTTTTTCATCCCAAATCAGTATTCAATTGTTTAAACAATACTACAGGTAAATTTGAAAAATGAACCTAATAGATGGCCAATGATGATATTGATTCCCAAATATTATAAAGAACTTTTGCCAAATACTTGGATTGATAATCATCCAGCATTGCACAAAGGATTGGCAGGCGCAACAATAGCCTTGTTTGAATCTTTTGTGACTTGTCCTTTGGAAAGAATTAAATGTTAATTGATGACTCAACATTAATCAAAATCAAGTATCTTAAAAATAATATCATTAGTATTTAGATAATTATGGAAAAATGAGAGATCATTATCTCATTTTGTAAGAAATCTATATACGGGCATGGAAGCTATGGTTTTGAAGTAAGTGGTCTCATGGACGAATTATCTCTATTGGGATCATAAGATTAGATATTTCTTTAAGGAAAGTCCCAGTCAAGCACTAACTTTACCATAAATTGCTATGTGCAGTTTATTGACTGCAATTCCAAACATCCTTTTAGTTTAACCATTTGATGCTGTTAAGACGGCTTATCAGATGGAAAAAAATGGAAATTATAAATAACTAACCATCCCACAAGCCTTTGTAAAAGTTTATAAGGACAGAGGTTTTATTGGGTACTACGCTGGTTGGTAATTTAGGTTGTCTTAATTTATAATTTAAGCAGCTTTAAGTACTCCAGTAATGGATTATTTGGAAAGATTACATGGTCTTCCAAATGAACTCTGAAATTCATAGTTAATACTAACAACTGAATATTTTTGATAATAATGAAAAATTTATATATTATCATTTTGTTTAATCATTAGTGAATCAATTTTCTAGTCTCCCCTATAGTATCAAGTCAATTTTCTCTATCTTTATACCTAGTTTCCTGATATATATGATTTTAATTTATTTTATTATAATCTTACTTTTACTTGATTATAAGAATCGAAATGCTCTGAGAGTAAGGGATGTAGATTTTATTTGAGCAATAAGAAGATTAAAAATGTTTTTCTTATTCTTGTTGATAGTGTAATATCTAGTTCAATTAACCGTCAATTATTTTGTCAATTCTTCATTTCTGAAAAGCTAAGATTATCTTGGTTATTGTTGATATTTTGATTGATTTGATAGCCTTAAAAATCTTACCAAAATGATGTAGTTTAATCAGTATTAATGGACTCTAATAATCAGTATAATGAAATTGAAGTTGCATTATAAATAATTGGTTTTTATTCTATTTTTGTTAAATTTAGAGGTGTTATTTATTTTACAACACTTTACTTTGCTTTATGTTCTATTTCTTATTAATTATTTTCATATTGTTCTTGATATAGGACCTAAATTGATTAAGTAGTCTGATATCACCAAGAGATTTTTGTTCTATACTCAATTTTTGAAAGTGTATAGATGTTGGTTGTTTAAATAAAATTTTTGTTTTTATATTTATTAATTACAAAATACCTCCAGTAATTTTGTAACACAGTCCAAAACTACTAATTTTCAAAGTTTAAAGTTCCAACTAACAAAGTTATGATTTATGTGGATAAATAAATAAAATTTAAATTTTATCTAAAAATGAGAATAACAGTTTTTGCTCTCTCTCTCCTACTATATTGATGGAAAAATATTTCTTTGACCTTGATAGTTTCAACCATTAAAGAAATGGATATGATTATAATAAAGGGTAGAAATAAATTTGATTGCACTATAATAGAAAAAGTCTAAAAAGTCGTTAAAAGTTTATCCTTTAAAGATCGTCTATAACAATTGATAAGCAAAATATAAAAATGGATGATAATTACATAGTAATCATTATTAGAAAAGCAAAAATGAAAACACATTAGATGATAAAAAAGAGTGAAGTGAGGTAATATTTGGATGAAATTGTAAAAAATGAGTGAGAATAAATCTAATCTAAAAGTTAGTCAAAAATAATATTAAATTCTTGGAAACTTCAATATCATACTAGTTTAAAATTCTAAATGCCCTAAGAGTAAAAAAGAACAAGATTGGCTTAAATAATTAGAAAGAGACAGAGAAACCCTCTCGCGACCTTAGTTAGAAAAGAAATTTCAGCTGCGAGAATAGAAAAACTAGAAACAAAAAATATTTCAGTAGTTAAATCTTCTTTAAGACAACCAGAAGAAATAATGATGAAAGAAATAAAACAAAAAATATTTACGTTATGATGAGAAAAAATATAGACTGGAATCGAAAATATTGTAAAATTTCTGTTAAAATGATAAATTTTCTGTTTAGAAAAACCCTATTGGTTGTTCCAGAGAAATTACTCTAGAAGACTTATTTTCAAGTCGAAAGATTAACACAAAAGAAGTTAAACTTATGCCTCAATAATCTATTAAGTAACCAATTAAATATTTAAAATTTGCAACAATCCACAAATTTATGGAACCAAATATTCAGGCTACGAGATAATATTAAAAAAGATTCTCATTAGAATACAAGGATTTTATGAAGATTATAGAAGTTTCGACCTCTTTAATAAGCACTTATTAAAGCTATGGATAAAAAACCTTTTTTAGGATTAACCAAAATAAAAAGTAGTATGTCGAACTTAGAAACCTACCGAAATTTGTGAGCTAAATTTTGAGATCGCAGTACATTAATTTATTTACTTTAAAAGAAGAATGGGTTTATATTTGAAAAACTAGGTGTAAAGCTTATAAATTTCCTTTTTGGACAAACTTAGACTGGTACCATCTTAATCACTTCATGAAAAAATTATAGTTATAAAAAGAATTAGTCTACTTGAACCTTATTATCTGTATATGTTTAATCTAAAGAATGATTGCTTTGCCATTTAGAACATTAATATATGGTATCAGGAGATGAATAGACATACAAGATTCCATTAGTATGACCATCTAATGGATTAAGAAATTTAAACTATCCGCCTGTAATATTAAATCTTGTATTTTTAAATATTTTAGTAAACTTTAATTCTTAAATTTAAAATTGTCTATTAGTGAATAATAACTTTTTTCATCCAAGGTTATATTCACATACATTTACATGTGGGCAATGATTAATATAACCACTTTTCTACTATTAATATATTTAGTTCTTTAAATTTATCATCCAATTCATTTTAGGTGGAAAATTTCATTTTTATAGAGAAGAAGAAAAATTTCGTTTTTTTTGTATATTGTGGATATGTATGGTTTACTTTTATACTTCTTTTTCTACAATTTTTACAATAGACTTGCGTTTTATTTATTATAAATTATAGATTATTTATTAATATAATTGTTAAATTGAATCAGTTGATTAGTTTTAAAAGTCTTAAAGGATATTGTTTTTGGTTTAGATATTAGTTAATTTCGTGAAAATTCTCTTGAATTAAACAATGATTATACATGATCTCAGTTATTTTATTTGAAGTATGTAAAAATTTCAAGTTAGAGAAGATATAATTATCTTCGTAAGTCTTTTATAAAATCTAATACTTTTCATATCAATTGAAAAATAATAATCAAAGATGATTGGTACATTACTTTCAATATCAATAGCATCCAATCTAATTGTTTTACTTTATCATTCTAATATAAAGTTTATTTTCAAAATATATTCTTAATGTATCTTTTTTCTTATCTATTGTTATAAAAAATATCTTTTACTTTTAATGAACTAATATTACAAAATTATTAATTATTTTGTTAAGACTAATCCTTTTGTAAATAATAATAAATTAAGTTAATCTATCATATAATGTCCTAGATGTAGTATAAAAGAATGTTGTGTCAATTGGGTTTTCTTTAAGTAATTATATCGATCTTTATTTTAAACTAGTCATTTTGATGAATGTTCTCTGTTGAGATTATTAATTTAATGTAGTATCATTTATTATTTAATCTCTATTCATAAAAATTAACAAAATTTTTTATGATATTTAAATAAATAATATCTACACTAAATTGATCGCATAGTTGAATAATATTAAAACAAATGAAGTTTATAAATGACTGAAAAGGAAATAAAACTTAAAAAAATAAGAATTTACCTAGCTTTAGATNTATTATCTGTATATGTTTAATCTAAAGAATGATTGCTTTGCCATTTAGAACATTAATATATGGTATCAGGAGATGAATAGACATACAAGATTCCATTAGTATGACCATCTAATGGATTAAGAAATTTAAACTATCCGCCTGTAATATTAAATCTTGTATTTTTAAATATTTTAGTAAACTTTAATTCTTAAATTTAAAATTGTCTATTAGTGAATAATAACTTTTTTCATCCAAGGTTATATTCACATACATTTACATGTGGGCAATGATTAATATAACCACTTTTCTACTATTAATATATTTAGTTCTTTAAATTTATCATCCAATTCATTTTAGGTGGAAAATTTCATTTTTATAGAGAAGAAGAAAAATTTCGTTTTTTTTGTATATTGTGGATATGTATGGTTTACTTTTATACTTCTTTTTCTACAATTTTTACAATAGACTTGCGTTTTATTTATTATAAATTATAGATTATTTATTAATATAATTGTTAAATTGAATCAGTTGATTAGTTTTAAAAGTCTTAAAGGATATTGTTTTTGGTTTAGATATTAGTTAATTTCGTGAAAATTCTCTTGAATTAAACAATGATTATACATGATCTCAGTTATTTTATTTGAAGTATGTAAAAATTTCAAGTTAGAGAAGATATAATTATCTTCGTAAGTCTTTTATAAAATCTAATACTTTTCATATCAATTGAAAAATAATAATCAAAGATGATTGGTACATTACTTTCAATATCAATAGCATCCAATCTAATTGTTTTACTTTATCATTCTAATATAAAGTTTATTTTCAAAATATATTCTTAATGTATCTTTTTTCTTATCTATTGTTATAAAAAATATCTTTTACTTTTAATGAACTAATATTACAAAATTATTAATTATTTTGTTAAGACTAATCCTTTTGTAAATAATAATAAATTAAGTTAATCTATCATATAATGTCCTAGATGTAGTATAAAAGAATGTTGTGTCAATTGGGTTTTCTTTAAGTAATTATATCGATCTTTATTTTAAACTAGTCATTTTGATGAATGTTCTCTGTTGAGATTATTAATTTAATGTAGTATCATTTATTATTTAATCTCTATTCATAAAAATTAACAAAATTTTTTATGATATTTAAATAAATAATATCTACACTAAATTGATCGCATAGTTGAATAATATTAAAACAAATGAAGTTTATAAATGACTGAAAAGGAAATAAAACTTAAAAAAATAAGAATTTACCTAGCTTTAGATGAAAATGAAGAAGAGAATTTGATAAAGAAATAAAGAATAAATTTATTAGATATGGATTGTAATAATATGTGTTGTTTGTTAATGATCAAAGTCACTTTTTCTATAAATCTTCTATAAAACAACTTCCTTTAGATTTAAATAACTGTTTTAAATCTTTTCCTTAATGGTTTATTAATTCTCCTTATTAGATAAGTGTACCTGATGCTTCTAATTAAGGATTCTAACAAATTCTAAGTATTGTACGATCAGGATCAACTTAAAATAATAAATAACAAATACTATTTGGTAAAATTGAGCTATTCTAAAGTGGTATTTTAAACTAGGTAAGAATATCTTGATAACTTTTTTCCTCGAATTAAATTTCTTTTTCAATATTTACATGCCATAGACGGATTGACTTATCATTACTACCAGAAGCTAATGTATTTCCATCAGGTGAGAAACAGACTGACCAAACATTATTAGTATGACCATCTAATTTTGCTTTTAATTATCCTGTCTTTACATGCCAAAGACGGATAGAGTTATCATAACTACCAGAAGCTAATGTATTTCCATCAGGAGAGAAACAGACTGATCTAACATAACTAGTATGACCATCTAATTTGGCTTTTTATTATCCTGTTTTGACATCCCATAGACAGATAGACTTATCATAACTTCCAGAAGCTAATGTAATTCCATCAGGAGAGAAACACACTGACATAACATATCCATTATGACCATCTAATTTGGCTTTTTATTATCCTTTTTTGACATCCCATAGACGGATAGAGTTATCTACACTACCAGAAGCTAATGTATTTTCATCAGGAGAGAAACAGACTGAGTAGAGAGTATTACTATGACCATCTAATTTGGCTTTTTATTATCCTGTCTTTACATCCCATAGGCGGATAGAGTTATCACTACTACCAGAAGCTAATGTATTACCATCAGAAGAGAAACAGACTGAGTAGACAATACTTTTATGACCATCTAATTTGGCTTTTTATTATCCTGTTTTGACATCCCATAGACGGATAGAATTATCATCACTACCAGAAGCTAATGTATTTCCATTAGGAGAAAAACAGACTGAGTTGATACCACCACTATGACCATCTAATTGGGCTGTTTATTATTCTGTTTTGACATCCCATAGACGGATAGACTTATCATAACTACCAGAGGCTAATGTATTTCCATCAAAAGAGAAACAGACTGATCTAACAAAATCATTATGACCATCTAATTTGGCTTTTTATTATCCTGTTTTGAGATCCCATAATCGGATAGAGTTATCATAACTACCAGAAGCTAATGTATTTCCATCAGGAGAGAAACAGACTGATCTAACATCATTACTATGACCATCTAATTTGGCTTTTTATTATCCTGTTTTGACATCCCATAGACGGATAGACTTATCATCACTACCAGAAGCTAATGTATTTCCATCAGGAGAGAAACAGACTGAGTAGACATAATTACTATGACCATCTAATTTGGCTTTTTATTATCCTGTTTTGACATCCCATAGACGGATAGACTTATCATCACTACCAGAAGCTAATGTATTTCCATCAGGAGAGAAACAGACTGAGTAGACATAATTACTATGACCATCTAATTTGGCTTTTTATTATCCTGTTTTGACATCCCATAGACGGATAGACTTATCATCACTACCAGAAGCTAATGTATTTCCATCAGGAGAGAAACAGACTGAGTAGACATAATTACTATGACCATCTAATTTGGCTTTTTATTATCCTGTTTTGACATCCCATAGACGGATAGACTTATCATCACTACCAGAAGCTAATGTATTTCCATCAGGAGAGAAACAGACTGAGTAGACATAATTACTATGACCATCTAATTTGGCTTTTTATTATCCTGTTTTGACATCCCATAGACGGATAGACTTATCATCACTACCAGAAGCTAATGTATTTCCATCAGGAGAGAAACAGACTGAGTAGACATAATTACTATGACCATCTAATTTGGCTTTTTATTATCCTGTTTTGACATCCCATAGACGGATAGACTTATCATCACTACCAGAAGCTAATGTATTTCCATCAGGAGAGAAACAGACTGAGTAGACATAATTACTATGACCATCTAATTTGGCTTTTTATTATCCTGTTTTGACATCCCATAGACGGATAGACTTATCATCACTACCAGAAGCTAATGTATTTCCATCAGGAGAGAAACAGACTGAGTAGACATAATTACTATGACCATCTAATTTGGCTTTTTATTATCCTGTTTTGACATCCCATAGACGGATAGACTTATCATCACTACCAGAAGCTAATGTATTTCCATCAGGAGAGAAACAGACTGAGTAGACATAATTACTATGACCATCTAATTTGGCTTTTTATTATCCTGTTTTGACATCCCATAGACGGATAGACTTATCATCACTACCAGAAGCTAATGTATTTCCATCAGGAGAGAAACAGACTGAGTTAATACAATTACTATGACCATCTAATTTGGCTTTTTATTATCCTGTTTTGACATCCCATAGACGGATAGAGTTATCACTACTACCAGAAGCTAATGTATTTCCATCAGGAGAGAAACAAACTGACATGACAGCATATAAATGACCATCTAATTAGGCTTTTTATTATCCTGTTTTGACATCCCATAGACGGATAGAATTATCATAACTACCAGAAGCTAATATATTTCCATCAGGAGAGAAACAGACTGATCTAACATCATTACTATGACCATCTAATTTGGCTTTTTATTATCCTGTTTTGGCATCCCATAAACGGATAGAATTATCACTACTACCAGAAGCTAATATTTTTCCATCTGGAGAAATACAGACTGACCTAACTACATCACTATGACCATCTAATTTGGCTTTCTATTATCCTGTTGTAATGTCCCATAGACCGATAGATTAATCACCGCTACCAGAAGCTAATGTATTTCCATCAGGAGAGAAACAGACTGACATAACATAGTTACTATGACCATCTAATTTAGCTTTTTATTATCCTGTTTTGACATCCCATAAACGGATAGAATTATCATCACTACCAGAAGCTAAAGTATTACCATCAGGAGAAATACAGACTGATCTCACACAACTACTATGACCATCAAATTTATTCAATTCATGAACTTTTATGTTTTTCCATTTACAATTAAACATCTAAGCACCATTAAAATTGACTCCACTAATATCCACATTCTCAAATTTAGATCCACTTAAGTTACATCTTACAAAATTTCCTCCAATCAAGGAAGTATTCTTAATTCTGATATTCTCAAAGGATTGGTTCCTTATATCAACCTTCATGGCCACTAATATACTAAGTCCATTTGATCCCGACTGAATAAATTTTACATCTATGCTTGTTAGTCGTACTAACAATCTGATGAAATTTGTGATCCCTTTGTTATCCTTTATCCTCTTGATTAGATCTGCTCTTTCCTTTACATAAGTCTCGGAAGAATAGTCATACTTACTAAATTTAAGATCCTAAATATTCCTCAAAACATTTGTGATTTTCTTTACTTACTTCTTGATATCTTTTAGATTTTCCTACTTGTTGACTAATGATTCCTAAAACATCTAATCTTTTATCTTTGAAAGGAATCCAATAATGTCTGAAACTTTCTCTTTTCTCAGTATATCAAGAATCCTTTTATAGAGAGATTCATCAATATCTTGGATGTAGGTTAGCATCTCATAAATATCTTCCTTTATTAAATAAATATCTTCTTCATCCTCCCTAGATTTAGAATTATAATACTTACTTAATTAATGATTGGATCTTTTGGATTCCTTAGTTAGACTTTTCAATAAAAGTTGTTATATGTTAGTCCCACCAACTCATGGTCTTATCTAATTCTATAATACAAGAATTCTTCTCAGCATTCCAATTTTTTAAAGTTGAGCCTTCTACAATGTTTACTAATTATTCTATATCAATGTAGGACGATTCGGCTAGATTAGTAGATTCGTTCATGAGGTTTTAGTATGATTAGTTTTCCTTTTCAATCTAATCATATACTTATTTGATTGATTGTGACAACTCCTCCCAAATTTTCTTCATCAATTGTTCGGTTTGAGAGAGTAAGGATTTAAAGGCCATTCTTTATTTTGATAGTTCAGATATATCATTGGTCTTTGAGTCTTTTAATTTATTGATTGCCTTTTCTTAAAATATATCGATTGGAATTGTATATTTCAAATCCACTCCATGCTCATATTGGCATTTCACACAAAGTTTCCTTTAACATTAGCACTTGTGAGGAGCCACACATATCAAAGTGATCGGATTTTGAAAATGGTGGGTGCAATTTATCATCTTTTATTTTTAATATTGAATTTCTATTACTCTAACTTGAATTTATATACTGCAAAATCGCTAAAAGTATCTTGTGCATTTTTGTTAAACAGAAGATAGGACTTTGTTTAGATTTTAAATTGATTGTATTAGATATTAATTATGCTATTTAGAATTCATTTCAATATCTGCATTGCATAATTTTTTAATAATATAGAATATTTTTATTTTATATGACTTTTTTAATTTATACAACAATTGATTTCTATAAATAATTCATTAATTTTTCTTGTTTATCTTTAATTTTCCAGCTAAATGTTTTCAGAATTGGAATATTTCTTACTATTGTATTTGGATTGTTGGACTTATACTTGAACTGTAATGTTAGATTTTCTAGATATCTCGAAAACTTAGTATGACCCCTCAGATATAGATATAGGTCGTCACCTTTCAGGGGAGAAATAGTGGTCATAAAATATTTTTCATATTTTCTAAAAAAGCAAAGTGGGGGGATATTGTAAAAAGAGAACTTTTACTTTTTGTAAAAATTGCATTCACATTTTTATTGAAATGAAAAGAGATGTAAACTTATTTTGTTCACATTTGATCTTAGAATGATACAGCTACTAATTGA